AAAGTTCAGAGAACATCATGGAAGAGTGGAAATAAAGAATGTAAGAGCCAGATGATGGGGAGGAGAGTTGTGGAGTGCTGCCTTTTGGACATTACAGGGCTGGTGTACACAACAACTCACATCAGTGCTGGTTACTACATGAGACCTGAACACAATAAATCCAGTGGACATTTCAGCATGGATGAGGAGCAGCTGCTCAGACTCCATCTCTACAAAAGGACCTACTGACAGTTGGTAACTGCTGATTTAATCTTCTTTGGGAACGTGCCTCCTGGTAAGTGGCCTGTCCCCCAACGGATGGCCCCATATCCTTTAGCACTAATTGGACTCAAGGAACTATTAATATAATTTATTAACAATAAATTTTCAAAGAGGACATAAACTCAGGAAGGAACTGGGTTGGTGGTTGTCAGGGGAAATTAGAGAGAGGTGGTGGGCAGGAAGTGGACAGATAAGAATATATTCTATATATGTATAAAATTTACAAAAAATAAAAACGAATTTTGAATCCAAAAATGTAAAATAATAATAATAAAAAATTTTAAAGACTTTTATACTTGTTACACACTTGCAAGGTGTTCACCCCAAGTTTCTATACATTTGACTTGTTCTGTATTTCAGCTGGAAGTTCTCCTCTTCAGAAAGGTTTTCCAAGCTGGGTACGGTGACTCATGCCCATAATCCCAGCACTCAGGGAAGCAGAGGCAAGCAGATCTCTGAGAGTTTGAGACTGGCTTGGTCTACAAAGTGAATCCAGGACAGCCAGGACTATACAAAGAAACCCTGTCTTAAAAAACAAACAAAGAAAACGGAAATGTCTTCCTTCTGTTCAGTCATTCTCCTGTACCGAATTTTCCTCTTGTTTGAACTGTCTTACTCTGAGACTTCATGCTGTATAAATTCCACTAGAACAAAAATCTGATATTATCACAGGTAGTCTTTGTACCTGGAACTGAGTCGTCATTTCAACCTTCCATAGCCAATGATAATAGTGTTATACCTTTTGAAATTATATTTCAAAACAGAGAAAGAGAGATTGTACTAGAAGGGAAACATAGGATAGAACTCATCCATTTGATATAAGTAGCTACATATAATCATCACAATACACCCTGCCACCAAAATTATGTAATCTGCAGAGAAGCTTACTAATAATAAATAGGTCACATGCCCTTTCTACATTTTAAACTTTTGTGGAAAATAACTACACATAAGAACAAATACGGGTCATTGCAAACTATCACAGATGTAGTCCTTTACACTGATATCAGAAAGAATGATGCCATGTACATTTTATTATGTAGGTGTGTTCTTTACTGATGGCACAAGGTCAGTGACAGAAAAAAAAATGTCACTGGATGGTATCAATGTTCCTAGGCCAAAAAGGTATTGTCACCCTGAAACCAAGACAAAAACAAGAGGCTGTACACAGAAGCAGAGAGCAGTATTTGTGTGTGTGTACAAACTATTCAACTATCGAAATATGTCACCAATTGATATAAGACACTAAATTTAAAATCAGATATTCTGGCTTCTATAACTGTTGTTCAAAATGTGTCCGTTTTTTTATATTGCATTGGTCTGTGAATTCCCTTCCATAAAATTTTGATCCTCCTTCTGATTACTTAGATTAGTAATTACTTAGATTACTACACATTGTTTTTCTTGTTGGAAACTGTGAGGCATATTATTTTGTTGAGCTTCCATTTCAAAAAAAAATCAGAATTTTAACATGTAACTGTTTTTCTAGTCAGGTCATGGAGATTATCAGAATTTCTTTGCTTTTTCTACCTTTGCTTGGAGAAAGCCACTTCTCGGTCTTTATACTTTCTAATGAAACCTTTCTGAACTCAGTAGACAAAATGCTGCCCAGGAGATGAGGACCATTGTGGAAACTAAATTACAGAAACTGAATTGGTCCTGACCAATGTGGATTGTAGTACTTTGTAGACTCACTCTTAGCTTTCATTTCTCCACACTATTTTATGAGATTCATAAGTGGGAAAAGTACAAACAAAACATGCAAGCAGCATCCATTGAAGAAAACTGAAAATTTCAGGCAGGCCTATTCAGCAATGCTCTTTGGATTTCATAGTTAATGAAACAATTAAAATTTTATATCAGTCACAGTCTTCCTACTCCAACACACACACACACTCATACACACATTCCCATGCACACACACACAAACTCACACAGGCATGCTAATACATGTACACACAGACACATTTGCAGGTCTGGCAGGAATCTAAAATTCGTTTAGCTGAATGACTGGTGACCTGATCTGTGGCCTAGCTCAGCTGAGGTCTGTTCCAGTCGCCATGTTGTTGAGTCTATCTGGTGAGACAGGAACACAAAGAGAGTTCCCACATGCAGCTGCTCTCTCCCGTTTGTTACATCCTTTTATTGTACCATATAAGTGCACAGCTGGGAGATGCTATAGAATGGGAGTTAAACAAATATTTTGGCTTTCCAGCATTCAGAGAACACAAAAGCTCCAGCAGAAAGCAGAGTAAAAGTTTGGAAACATTTCTATGAGAATGGTCTCCTTCGCACTAGTGTATAACATGTTTGCAACCTTAAGCTATTTTATACTACCATAAATCATATGTAACACAAATTATTACATATATGTTAGTATTTATTTTTGACAAATTATGCATAAGAAAATTTTCAGACTAACTCAGCAAAGCAACTTAGCACTTCCAAAAGTAAAGTGTTTCTTAGAAAGTAAGGCAAGTGCCCTCAGAAGGAGCAGAGCTTGAAGTGTGTTGTCCCTGCCCTACCAATACAGTTTCCATTCCAGTTACTTTTATTTGGTCAGGTCTGCACAAGGCATTAACGCAAAACTATCTTCAACCAGTCCCTTTCTGTGCCCCTCTTTGTCTACACTAATCCAAGCCACTGTAATCTTTCATCTACATTTCTGAAGTAGAAGTCCCAGTGGCTCCCGCCTTTTCACTCTTGCTGCCCGCCCATCCATTCACTGTGCTACAGTTGGAATTATCTGTGAGAAACGTTCTTCAACCCTTCAAAGGCTGTTCCCACTGCACTCAGATCAAATCTCACTCCACAATGCCATCTCCAAGGCTTGTATGATACGGCCCCTATCTGTTTTTCCAACCACATCTGATGTATCTTCATTCCTTATCCTCTGACCACAAAGAGCACCTTTCATTTCCTTAAATTAAGTTATGGTTTTATCACTCAGACACTCCACACACATTGCTCTCTCTACAGATTTACTCTTTGCCCACTCTGACTACTTTCTGTCATCGTTAGCTTGGAGAGGCCATCCTAACCATCTCTTCAGTTAGAGTTGCCTCATTGTGCTTTCAGACAACATTCAGATCTTCTGCATAGCACATGTCATAACTTTAACTATATATGTATTTGTATGTCTACACCCTGCCCAAGAATACAAAGAAGGCACGATCATAGCTGCTTCACCATAATACAGCTGTAGTTAGAAGAATACCTAACATTTAGAAGGTGCTCAATAAATATTCATACAAATAAAGACTAAGCAGAGTCTCATTATCCTACTGATGAGCAAAGAGCAGAGACTGGATATCCATCCCAGCCATGCCACCTTGGAGACAGGGAATTAATAAGTTTAATCAGAAAATTTATTTCATCCTTGCCTCACTATATATTTGCCTTCCCCCTTCCTTCTCCTGGAAGATAAATCTCCAGCCCAGAAAACTGTACATTGTTGATTCCCCATGTATAAAAGAACAAAATGATACCATTTTCAAGAAAACCTGGATATATCATGTTAAGTGAAATAAGTCAAATGTACAAAAATGAGATCCCAGTGTGTGGAATTTAAGTTTAGCATGCGGGCAAAGTAGAACACTGACCTAAAAGGACTATTAGGAACTTACAGTAGGAGAAGGAGAGGAAGAAGGTGCTTAAAAATGGTAGTAGGGCAAGAAACTATAATAAAAATTAAAATGTCATAATGAAATTTGTTAATCTGTATAATTAAGGTGTGCTAACAAATAAATAAGTCAATGAATCATGCAGTAAAACTAAAATTATTCAAGACATGCTTCTTTCATCTCTTGAATTCTCCTCCCCATCTATACTGTTCCAAAGCACAGCCTGTGTCTACAGAAATCATTTGAAAAGAAAAAAAAAAAAGCTTTCTCCCTTCACAGGGGAGAAATTTTGTTGTGCATTTTGTTGACAAAGGTATGTTAAATGATATCTTGTCTTCTGTTACAGGATTAAAACTCTCATTGTCAGCTTAAGATATTTTTTCATTAACTTAATTTTTCGTTACGCAAAAGATAAGAAATATATGTCAGGGTTAAGACATTTTAAGGTTCTGGTTTCTTCTAGATAAAAAAAAAAATGAGGATTTTTGTTTTGGATTAGATAATGTCACTCCTGATGTTTCTGTTTTGATGCTCAGAAGATAGAATTTTCCATGGGAAAGCTGCCTGCTCTCCTGCATCATTTGATATGTCATTTCTGCTTTAAGAGAAAACCCATGCAGTCTGATTGGATGGTCCCCAGGAGCCTTTGAAATTACTATATAGGTACACGGGGAAAGTCTTTATTATAAATCAAACTTGTCATTAAAAATGGTAGATACAGACATTTCCTTTTCAAAGATGTAGTCACACTATGATCAGATTTGCTTAACTTAATTTTTCAATATTGATATACTTCATTTGAGTGCCTATTTTGTGACATTACTAAGTTCATCACATTAAGTTGGAATGGAAAGAATCAGGTCACCAACTTCCTCTCGTTTAAACAGTAAACCAATATTCTTCTGTCAGGAGCACCTAATGATGGACATAGCCCAGATCAGAAGCTGCTATAAAGTTTCCCAGTTACTGGAATAATAGCAACTGAATGCCTCATGCTTGTTTTGTGGCCTGACCAGGAATATGCTGAGGCCATGTATTTTAGCTTTCCTTAAAACATCCACTAATAATGACGATGTAGACACAGTTGGCCACAGTCACCAGACTTTCAGTGCTCACCATTCTTTGCTGAGATGACAGAACGCTGTCCCAGTCAGCATCTTGTTGAATGGTACTGACAAGCGTCGGGAGCTCCTCAGAGTGAGGTTTGTTGTGCATTATGGGGTGCAGAGGCAGATGGGAGGCCGCATGTTGATCACTGCCCTCTTCCTTTTCTCTTGAGGTCAAATCCTGGGTCATTGTTTCCTCTCCATCAGCTGTACAGGCAAATGGAGAGGTGGCTTGCTTGGAAGACATTCTTCTGCAGAAGAAGGGAAACACCATGGATTAAACAGAACTCTCAACAACAAAATTAGAAGTTATTGTATTTGACTAACTTGAGCAAAAAAAATAAAAATAAAATAAAAATCCTTGAAATTGAGGACTATTGAGAGATATAGACAGTCTAAACTACAAAGGACTGCTGACTTATCTGCTCTTTGTGTATCCCCCTCTTCCTTTCTACTCACTAACCCCATTTCCCACTAACTGCTGCATGTTTTCTCTCACACAGTCCCCAAATATGATTCTTATAAGTTTTCTTGATGTACAATATACATATTTGTATGTCCTTCCTCCCAGCTTTCCCAACTAAATTGTGAGTTTCTGGAGAGTATTTAGGTTGGTAGTTAGCAATGAAAAGAACTAGTGAACGAACTGACTGATGAGCCAGTTTGAAGAATGACTTCAGAGCAAAAATACCAAACTTTCTCCCATAGCTCTGAAGGTTTAATAAACCTATTAAAAAATACTAACTGATTAAATAATTTGTCCTTAATATGCCAAACAAATGGTCATGACTTCCTATCTTAAACCTTGATTATGGATGCCAGACCTCACACCAATGGCCTATCTGAAGCTTTTCTGGAGACCTCCAAGATACATTAAGTATTGCTTCTTAGCTTGCAAGTGACATGTTGACTGAATAGCTTCTAGTGTTCGATAAATCTCATGGCAACTTTGTGGAATTTGAATTGAATTTCTGAAGTAATTACACCTCTATTTCATGTCAGAAAGTACATACATGATTTTACTTTGAAAGCATTTACTATGAGAAAATAAAATGCTTTCTGTGGATACTAAAAATTTTTTAAAAAAAAAAAAGAGTATCATTTGTTTAAGTCTCTACAAAGAAACAGTCAAAAGACTGTGTAGTGAGGTCTTCATCTTGCACTTCATATGAATGATTTCAGAAATAGTGATGTTATACAAAATTTCAAACCTTTGAGAAGATCACTTAGAAAGATGTTTTTAGGAATTTGGTTGGTAACCAAATCATTAAAAGTTGACAAACTGATGGAAGAAACCAGTTTTTCCCTAAAACTTCATGTTGATTTTTATTTATTATATTTCCTTTGAAACTGCTGTGTAATGAAGAAAATACAATTGCCACCTTAATTACTCTTTAACATTAATTGATTTCATACCATTTTTTAAATGCACAAATCAGTTAACATAGGGAACCACATGAGCATTTTTCAAATTAGCAAATCATTAACTTGCCTGTGCTGTTTCTACAGACAAATAAATACTGATTAAAGGGTCTAGAAATCTGAGATTAACAGTTAAATTTACAAATCTGTCACATGCTTTCATGAATATTGCAGTGAAGGAAATATCAAGTGCAAGGAAAAATAATTAAGTTAATTCCAATTTAAACAGTAGTTTTTATGTAGCAGCCCATGTTTCACATAGGATTTAACAGCTAATGCTAAATTTCTCACAATTAATGAGGGGGCTCAGAGTTAGTATCCTACAGTGAAAAACATTAATAGAAGATCAGCTAAACTAATTATGCACAGTTCTAAATAAAAGTATTACAGGCTTTTGAAGTGCTTTGAAACATATTAAAATGCTGATACCTACTTATAATAATCATTGTACAAATACTAAAACTTTCATCTATTTAGATGACTAGAAAATAAAACAGGCAAACTGTGCAAATGAATACTCCTGTTTCCCCTAAAAATAGAGAAACCGAATATTCTAACAAGCACTGTTTCAAAGACTCAGACACATTCTTGAGGGACTTCTCTTGGTGCTTAAAAAAAAAAATGGGCAAACACATGCACACATGGAAAATCATAACCAAAGCATGAGTCTTAGTATTGAAAGTCACTACAAAACCTACTGCATTAGCCCCAGAAATGCTACAGCAAAACCAGACAATTATAATTGTCCTGCAAGTTACCAAGGAGTGGTCACAGACAGCAAGAGTGTTCGCATTGTTCAGATAATGGGCAGCTAGCTCTAATGTAATCACACACATTAAAAATGAATGAATGAGTTGACTGCCACCTTTTAGAAACAGTTAAATACAAGTAAAAAAAAAATGTCATAATCCAAAACTCAGAGTGACTTCGGTTCTCCCAACATACAACCTCCCATTACAAAGTGATCTGGTGCCTTCCAAAAGCAGTATCTGTGATTATTGCTTTGGTATAAATTAATCATGACACAAAATCCAAAATGCAAACAGTCTCTTAAGAATCATTTTGACAATAGACTATACCAGCTAACAATAGTGTACAATCCTCATTAAACAACCCTGCAGCTGTAAAAATAGACTCAATCTGTCCAAAGCTATGAGTTGAGTTTAAAGGCTGGTTAGTGAGTGTTTTTCTTAAGGAAGGCTGGGTCCTCAGTCTTAATCAGCCAATAAATTATTTCCTGCAATTACATTAAATAGAAAATTATCTTCAAATGGGGAGTGTTAATTGAAAATCAAAATTCAGAGGGAAGTTTAGAAATTACACACTGAATACAATTAGTGGGGAAAGGCTTCACCTCTCCTTCATCAGCAGTCTTCTGGTGAGCCCTCCAGTGACCCGTCAGATGCCTGTTTACAGTGGCACACAAGCTGTCTTTTATTTTAAACCCACAAATACAAATGTGTATCAAGGTTGCAAATACCAGATCAGCTGCCACTGTATTAAAGCCGACTGTTCATCTTCCACTCACACCACAACTGGGGCAGAGGGAGTAGGGGAGGTAGAAGAACCAGGGAAGGCACATCTGGCTCCCCAGCCATCCCTCGGTAAGGAGGTCAGCATGCTGTGTTCCAAGCACACTCTTCAGATCATGCTTTACTTCTTTCTCTGCGGTTGTTTTATTAGCATTCTTAATGATGTTGTCCACAGAGGAAAAGAAGACTCCTGTTCTCTCAGCAAGACATTTCTTGTTGATAAAATTGTCGGGTTGTTTCAGCTTGTTCTCGACAGTGGCTCTGTTGTTGTGTTATACTATTCCAGGACAGTGGTTCTCAACCTTCCTAATGCAGCAAGCCTTTAATACAGTTCTTCATGTTATGGTAACCCCCAACCATAAAATTATTTCATTGCTACTTCTAACTGTAATTTTGCTACTGTTATGGATCATAGTGTAAATGTGGGATGTTTGATAACGCAACCCCAAAAGGATGTGACCCACAAGTTGAGAACCACTGTTCTGGATGATGGTTTTATTGTTTTTTGTTTTGTTTTGTTTTGTTTTTTAATTAGGAAAACACACACAACTTATTTTTAATGCATAGTTTTTTAATTGCTATATTTGTGTATGTGTGTGTGTATGTGTACATGCAGACAACAACTTGCAAGAGAGGGTTCTCTGATTCCACTGTATAGGTCCTAGAGATTGAACTCAGGCTACCAGGCTTAGCTACAAGTGCCTTTATCTGCTGAGCCATCTTTCTGTTACATAGTTATTAAATAAATCATAGACTTACTACTGAATCTGGATTACTAATTTTTACAATAAATTGTTATACAATCTCTCAATTTAACTGATTACAATCTCATTCATTTTTTTTCCATAGTATTATCCTTTTTTGTTTGTTTTTTTCTGTGGGGGTGTGGGGCTTGGTCAGAAGACAACTTTCAGAAGTAGGTTCTCTCCCTGTGCCATGGGTTGTGGGAATTTTATTCATGTTAAGTTTGTGCATCCAGCACTTGTAGGTAGTCCCACCTTGGTGCTCTTCCTAATTGTAGCGTTCCTCTTTAACACACTTTCCCAGAGCAACAAAAGCGTACTCTAGAAAGCCAGGCACTTGACTTTGGTGATCCCTACTCCTGCCACTCTACCAAGTCACCTGCTTTAGGGATCTGTGAATCAAATGCACCTGTTCATTAAGATTGTTCAGCTCTGTGTGGAGTTCTCGCACTGATTCTGAATGTGCTGATAGATAATGCTATCCTTTACAAGAATGTTGCCACCCACTCCAACCTCTGTGCACTAGACAGCGCCTTACCTAGCTATGTCCCACATAACTAATGAGCAGTAAAAAATTTAAATCTTTATGAAAATGGTCAATTTCTACGTGACTTTACTTTGTTTTATTTTTGCTCTATTGTAACTTAAAAATCATTCAAATGAATTGTTTTTTAATTTGTATTAAAAAAATCTTCCTAGTTAAAGCCCCTGAAAACAGGGGTTTATAATGGAAGTGCTGACACAACCCTACTAAAGCAGCGCAAATGTTGCCGCTATAATACACAAAATCAAGTTCTATTATTCTCAACTCTCCTCGCTCATGGGATTTTTCTTTGCTGTGCTCCCAGCCAAACTGCTGAAGCATGAAAAATTTAAATGCAATCAAATGTGCCCAATTCTACTTTACTAGAACAAGTGTCTACAGTGGTACAATCTTAAAAGGAAATGCAACAGATTTGTTTGGTGTTTTTTTTAACTGTTTATTTATAATACAGTGCATTGGAGATCAAATAAAAGAGGAAATTACACTCACATGGTACCAGTGTATTGACTACACAGAGCACATTATAATCAGAGAGGAAAACTACATTGTCAACTTATCACACTGGTTAAACAAGATGGTTTTCTGGGGCATAGCTATTATCAAGGAAAACCTCCAAAAAGAATTGTATGTCTTTGGGACATGTGAAACTCAGCTCCCGTTATATATTCCCTGCACTTGAACTGCCTCTGCCTAACAAATCAAGTGAATCTCCTGGACACTGGACCATTGGGAAAACCTTCTAACTTAAGATTTGGGGTTTTGAGACTGATGGAGATAATGCTTCCACATTTAATAATGCTCTGCAGGATGCCAGCAGGAATTTCTCTATCCCTACAAGGTGACAAACACTCCACCTTAAGCCCTAGTGTAAGGTTAACTCAGATGGTAAATGTACTTTCTGTTCTTGAACAAGGTGAGGTGGTCTAGGCTTTGTAAAAGAATGAGGATGGTGTGCGTCCACGTGCTAAGTCCTCTGCTTCAGGAAAGTATGCTATGCAGGACCTTTCCAA